GTGTACCTGATATTGGAAGCAAAAGAAAAGGGAGATCAGCAGAAATTCAGTAGCATACAACAACAACAACACCCAGGAACCAGCAATGAGAAACCAGTGACGGATTTTAAAACTCAAGATAAAAATCCAGAAAACACCAACAACAATCAACGGACAGAAGCCAAGGGAATCTTTTCAGATTTGAAAGACTAATTAATGTTCAACCCTTAATTTCTGAATCCGTATATCAGAATATTTAAATTGTATATCAGATGTATATTATTCTTCTTTTGAATTTCCAGAATGTTTTTCTTTTTATTTTTGGAGTCTTAGTATTTTTGGAATTTTTCTCTCTATCTTTTTTTCTTCTTTTTGTCTCCCATCCAAATCTGATCAAGTCTCCCTATTTTTATCTCACATCCCAAACCCTTTAATCAATTAATAAAACAACCACTTTCTCCTACCGAACCCACTACTACATAAAAAATATAATTATTATTTATTTAAACAACTTTTCTCGAGCCACAGAAGCAACGAGCAGCAGTGAAGGAGGAGAAGCAACAGCGGGCAACAGTGATGGATGTCGTTGGTTGTTTGGATGATTTCGACGTGAGTATGGCTGGTTGCTACTGGGTTGTCGTGAGGACGATGAAGCCACGAGAGGGGGGGTTCAGCCATGGCAGCTGGAGTTATCGTGGTCGATGAGTTAAGTCGAGGAAGAAGAAGACGCAGCGAGGGGTGGCTGTTTGGATGTGCAGGAGCAGAAGCCATGGTTGGAGGGGCGTGAAGGAGCAGAAGCCATGGTTTCTTTGGGTCATTCATGGCTGTCGTTGGACGATGGTGGAGCAGGAGTTCATGTTGTGCATGTGTGTGTGTGTTGAAGGAGAAGAGGCGGGGGAGAAGGGAAGCCATGGTTGGAGCTTGGAGGTTTTGAGAAGATGAAGAGAAAGAGAGGGGGCGGGTAGTGTAGGTTTAGTTTTAGGGTTTGTCTCTTTTTTTTTTGTTCAAGAATGAAAAATAGAAAGGGTGGGGTGAGTTTTTGAGTTATGGACTGGGTCGACCCGGTTTGAAATGGACCGGGTCGTAGGGGAAGGTTGGGTATATTTGGGCCTGGGGTTCAAAATTGAAGAAGAGGCCTAATCCCGAAGGCCACGAAATTCCTCCTCCTTCTTGGTAAAAAGAGCTCTAAGCTCATCGGCTTTCGAGGTGAGCTTCTTGCGCTCACCCTCGTAGCGAGTTAACTCGACTTGAAACCTGGCAAAGGACAAAAATCAGGGTGCTGAGCAGAATTTGCAAAAAATTACCTGCTCACAGAGCCTATCGATCTCACTAAAAATTAGTGAGACGTCGAGCTTAGGGTTTTCCTCGGGCGCGACAAAAAGCCTTTCAAATGCATCTTTATCTCTGACGGCGCCCCCATATCGGAAGATTCTTTATTTTGGGCATCCTGCATCTCCCTCGGAGGTAAAGTCAGTTCCGAGGGGGAATTGCTCACTTTAATAACACCGACTGGATCAGTCGGGGTCGTCTCTTGTTTCTGGAGAGCTCCAAAACTAGGGTCCCCCGGTCCGCCTACCGAATGCACCTCAGATCGAGGAATATTTTGGTGGTCAACCGGCTCGGGGACATTACCCGATACACCCTCGAAGGCTTCTTCAGCCCGAGGTAGGATAACAATAGCATCAGGTTCTGATTTAGAAGCCACCAGCCCAGCAATATGTGGGACGGTTAGGTTTTCTCCTCCCTCAGGTGCTACCGAGGAGTCATCTTTCTCCTCGCCTTTAGCTTAGGGATCCCCGATACTTCTGGAGTTAGGGATGCTGAATCGGCCTTAGGTTCTTCCACTTTGGCCTTCTTGGATTTCGAAGGCTCAGTCGACGATTTCCTTCTTTTTTTTCTTCTCTTTGTCAAGTTTCGGGGTATCCGCTTCCCCAGGCGGTGCTTTTATATTTGTAGCACTAATATATTCTTGAATTTCTAATATTACATGCCGTTTGTTTTGCCTCAATTATCTTATTTTTTTAGTTATGATTACTGCTTTAATTTATATGAATTATTTTCGTTATATGTTTTTCTTGAGCCGAGAGTATTGAAAATAATATCTTTATCTTCACAAGCTAAGGATAAGGTTTCCTTAGATCCGATTTGTGAGATCGCACTAGGTAGGTATATTGTTGTTATGTGTAAGAAGTTTAGTAAGTTGAAGTCAAAAGATAGTAATGCAAAGTGAAATTATGTACGTATATTTTCTTGGGAAATTTTCGTTCCTTTACCATATAGGAAACTATATTACCAAATATGTTCATAGTTTGCATATTACCCTTCATGCTAATAGTATTTCTACATAATATATACAATGCATTAAATAAGGAATCATTGTAGTTATAGGATTCTTTATTTAGGCGCGCTAAAAAGGGGGAATTTAATATTTTCCAGATCTTGCACAATGCAAATCACGCACAATAATAACTATCGTCGACTTCGTTACAAAATTTTCGTACTCTGTTTTAGCGATAGACTCTGTTTCAACATTTCTCTGATTTCACAAATCAAAATTGACAAAATCTTCTACAATTCTTCTGCAACAAAAGCAATTATGGCGAAAATACCAATTATGCTCCAATCGAAGGGGAATTGGGATAGCTTTGGTCGATTTAGAGAATTTGAGGTCGATGGCATTGTAGTCGATGACGATGCGAGTTACAGTCTATTGATTTCTACAATAGCACNAAAGCACTATTCTGTCATGCACAAGTTCCAATTCGGGGTTAAAAGATCTAGTTCTAGAAGGTATGAACATATGAATAGTCAAAGATTATTATTTTTCTAATTTTGTAGTTTATTTGTAATTTTTTAGTTCTTCAGTTTTCCTTGTGATAATGTTTAACAGAATTGTAGTTGAATTGTAGTTATGTTGTATTTATATTGTATAATGTGATTATCTAAGCTACAACAGTTTTTTTTTTAAATCTAAATTTTAACCCATTGTTTAATGTATTTATTTTGTAGCTATTGGCTTATATGTGTTGGTGAAAACTGTACATGGCACTTCAAGGCAACTAGTATAAATGATTCTGCAATGTTCAAGGTCAGAAATTTCGACAACCAACACACATGCTCTTTAATGGACAATACATTCATACAATGCAAACCTACTGGCATGGTAGTTGGTCGCATGGTTATTCCAAAATATTCTGATCCTAAGACAATTTACACCCCAAAAGACATTCAATTTGACATGTTGTCTGAACACGGCGTGAATTTAACCTACATGCAAGCCTGGAGAGCAAAGGAAAAGGCTTTACAGTTTTTGAGAGGTCATCCTGCTGACTCCTATAGCAAATTGCCTAGTTATTTGTATATTCTAGAGAAGACTTATCTGGGGTCTGTAGTTAAATTGAAGAAGACAGACGATGATTGCTTCTTGTATATATTTGTTGCGATTTGTACGTCAATCAGTGGCTGGGAATATTGTATGTCAGTTGTAGTAGTTGATGAGACCTTTTTAAAGACAGCATACAGGGAAATAATGCTAACAGCCAGTACAATGAATGCAGCAGGTGCTGAAGTTTTATTTGTAGAAATATTGTAGCTTGTATAGTTTTTTGTAGTACTTGCAGATTAATTGTAGATATATTGTAGAATAATTGTAGTTTGTATATATATATCTTCTTCTGCATTTTTACTGCTGCCAATTAATTGCTTCTTGCCACATAATGTAGGTACCATATTACCATTGGCATATGCTATTGTCGATTCAGAGAATGACGCATCAGGGAAGTGGTTTTTTGAGCAATTGAAGCTCGCGTATGGTGAAAGACCAAATATGTGTGTTGTTTCGGATCGGAATTAGAGTATCTTGAAGGAAACATCTATTGTTTATCCCGGCATGCCACATTATTCTTACATGTGACATATTTGGACAAATATACGGGCAAAGTTCAAGAAGAGACATCTTAAGCTAAGTGAATTATACGTTGTCACGGTGCGGTAATACACACTTGATGAATTTAATGAAAGGATGTCAAAGATTGAGGAGATTGACCCCCGTGTTAAAGCATACTTATACGATATTGTATATCATAGATGGTCTCAAGTACATGCTACGGTGAACAGAACATGGACTATGACATCAAACATTACAGAGTCGTTGAATGATGTAACAAAATATGCAAGAGAGTTGTCGATAGTAGAACTATTAGAGTATATGAGGACCCTTCTTGAATGTTGGACGAAGAAAAATTATTGAAAGCAAAGGGTACATTCACATACCTTGGATACAAATTCAACAAAGAGTTGGATGACAACAGAACATTGTCGCACAAGCTTAGAGTAAGATCTGATTATTTATTGAATCAAATTCATAAACAGCACAATGTAGATATTTTGTATATAGCTTGATTTTAACCATATATGAATTGTTTTTTTGTTTGTAATGTACTCGTAGGTGAGGGCTTCAACAAACTACATCCATATAGTAATAGATGGTGTGAGGCGCTATATTGTTTGTCTTGAAAACAAGAAATGTAGTTGTGGGCAATTCCAGCTTGATGAACTACCTTGTCCACATGCTTTGGCTACTTTAAGACAAAGGGATGAGTCTTTTGAAGAATATTGTTCTCCTTATTACACAAGGGCGAACCTCTTGCGTACGTATGAAATACCAGTAAATCTGTTGCCTGATGAGAGCAAATGGAATGTGCCACAACATATAACTGAAGAAATAGTAAATCCACCTAAAGGAGGGAAAAGGCAGCCAGGAAAACCTCAAAAAGAAAGATACAAAACATATGATGAAATAAATTCAAAGAAGTACAAGGTTTCATGCGGCAACAGTGAAGGAGAAGGGCATAACAAAAGATCTTGCAAGAATGCACCCAAAATAAAATAAAATTTTATGTAGTTAACAGAATATTTCATAAAATTTGTTGGTTAGTTCTGGATAACAGATTTTGATGTGTAATCATTGGTTTTTTTTAAGATCATAATGTAGTTAGTTAGGATGTTTCTATATTGAGATAATACTTTTATAGATTGATTTGTTTATGAATGTTTTCTATATATATAATCTATAACTTTTTTACTATATATGGAATCCTTTACATAGTTGTTAATGTATTTTTGCAGTTTATCTACAATAAAACTACAAAAAAAATACATTATCTGGAATTTACAGAGTATATACATTATAAATCTGTAGGAAAGTAGTTAAAAACTTAAAATATTGTAGATGAAGTATTGTTTACATTGAAAAAATGAATATAAAAGAAACAAAACACACTATTAAAATATTCTACAAATTATCTACAAATACAACTACAAAAAAACTATAATATCTGTAGCTGACATAATATATAGATTAAAATTCAGGTAGAAAGAAGCTTTATGGTGAAAATAATGTAGATCAGAATAATTGTATAAAATTTCAGTTGCAAAGGATTTAACTGCTAAAAATAATGAAGATCAAGTATTGTACATATTCAACAAGTGAATATAAACCCAACAAACTGTTACCATTTGTACTACTATACTGGATAACAAAAAAGAAACAAAGGCTACTATAATTGTAGCACAAGTCTGCTACAATTAAAACATAATAAATTTTTTAAGAACTTGTCTACCATCTATCTTATAAACTAGCATCAACTACACAATTGTAATACATGTTCCATTCCAAACATTACAACTACTTCTTCTTCCTCTGGACTCTTATTTTCTCATTCAAAACTGGTGCACCTTTCCTCTTTGTCAATTTGCCTGTCATCACTATCACTAATTGCCCCAATCTCCTGCTTCTTTCTAGCATAGTCCCAAAGTAGCGCTCCATAGCGTCTACGGTGTTGGTCAATATCAGAAAGGTCTTCTGTCAGAATTGATAATTCTCCAATACTAACATACTCTGCAAAGGCAACAACAAATACACCACAATCGCTGCAAAAGATTAAAAAATGTCAATATTTACCAAACCATTAGAAAAAAAGGGTTAAATGTAAGGAAAGAAAGAAATTTTTTGTTATAGTGATCCTTCTTTTTGCTGTGGTATCTCTCCGATGATCCACTGAATGTTAAGAGGTCAGTAACAGGTTTCTCAATGTATGCTTTTGTATTCTTGAAGTTGATATCTTTACGCTTCCCATAAAACCCGTTGCATGAAAAATACAAAGGGATAATAATAGAAAACTTGTCGACACAAGATTCAACAATAGGGTGATTGTGTGAAGAGACCATGGAATCATACGCATAAAGACACCTTTCTGCAATGTCAAAAACAACTAACACTTAGTGGAATTTTTCTACAATGTTGACGGGCATGATGACATAATCAACTTTATCCCATGCAATATTTGCGAGTAGTCTATACCCCAATATATATTCTGCTACAACATCCTGGGGTTTGACAACAGAAAACTTCTTTTCTTGAGGAGAATTTTTGAACTTTTCATAAATATGATCAATCCTAGTCTTGAACACACAATATGTTGTAGTAAATCTGGTATTGTTATGGGGGTCATACTTGCCTCTTTTTCTCAAGTAATACATTATAACATTAATGTGCTGCAATAAAAACAGATTGCATTTATTCTACATGTTATCTCAAAATATTCTACACAAAATTACAAATAACTACAATACATCTACAATCAGAAATACAAAGCATCTATCCATTCAGAATATAAACTATCTACAATTTATCTACAAAATATCTACAAATTAAATACATTGAATCTTACCGAGTCATTAAGGACTTGTTCTAGGTGTGTAAGGGAAAAGAACCACTCCTTCTTGTCAACCTTTTCAACTCCAAGATCCAACCATGGCTTAATTTGGTTGTCCTTTATAGAATATGGAGCCTTCCTCCTATATAAACAAATAGAAATTAAAATATAATTGTTGAATGAAGTGGATGTGTAAAAGATGAATACTGGAATAAAAGTGTCAAATTGTGCAACCTAACCTCTTTGGACCTGTGTCGGTACCGTTGTATAACCACTTGTGGAATTGATCCAACAACTTAGGGTCTATATTTTGACCAATAACACTAGTAAACGGGTTCTTGAGGTGAAATATTTGAGGTCCAACCGAGGTGTTGCCACCAGAACTGTATAAAGGGAGAAATGGTGATCAGGCGTTCTTTCCCGGCTGCCTAGTTCTACCTTGATGCACGGGTATTGTTTCATCTTGTATAGGCTTACCGAACTTAACCAACTAGGAGAAGTTATCAAGCATCTCGAAATTATCAAGCGTAACCTCCTTCTTCTCACCTCCGGATTCTTCTGAATCACCTACATTCACATACTCTGCCTCTTCACCTACATTGTCATCTTCCGGATTCTGCTGTTCTGTTTGAGCTGCTACTGTCACTCCGTGAATTGGAGATTGTGCATGCATATCTTCCCTCTCTGAAACACCATGTATATATAACTTAATATAATGGTAAAAATATTGAAACAAAAAGAAAATATCTCTAAAAACAATTTCAAACCTGCATTCTCTTCATCAATCGCCCCTTCAAAATGTGTATATAAATCAACACGTGCTGGATGATTTTATTCACCATGTGCACATTCAACATGTTCTGTTTTTTTCATTAAAAATGTTAAATAATACTGGATAGTATTGGCTTGACAACTTATGAAGATATCATAATATCTACATAAATCTGTATTGATGTGTAAATAAGCTGGATTTAATTGTATATATTATGTATATATGATGTAGACAAATTGTAGTTATGTTGTATATAATTTGTCGTTATTTTGTAGATATTTTGTATGTAATTGTAGATATACTGAAGATATATTGTAGATACCTGAACTTCATTGTTTCACCACTATTGAACTGAAATTACTGATCGTTCTTGTCTTTTGGTTGGTCAGTATTTTTTGTTGAACTCTCAGCAAACTTTAAGTTTTATATTAGTTAGGATATATATTTTAGAGGTGGCATAAATAGTTTTGTTAATATGATTAAGATTCAAATGTTACTTTTGCATCAACTTGATCATTTGGATTGTTTATCACCTGCAAAACAGTCTTGATTGAATCCTTTATTAGGTCTCGAAGGCTACCTAGTTCTTCAAATACATCTTTCCTAAATTTTTCAAGCTTTTTATCGACCTACATAATAAAAAAAATACATAGTTACCTTCAGAAATATGTATTAAAAACAGATACACTATTATATAAAAATCAGAATGCTTTTTAGGACTACATGTTACCTTCTCAACACCTCTTTTTAACTTTTTTATTTACGAAGAATAGACTCTTTTTCCTCTTTTCCAATTGATTCATTGGGTTCCAATGGAGGAGCATCAACTTTTGGATTCTCAGAAACATGTTCAACCTCTTCAATTGTGTACTCAACTTTATCAGGCAAAGACATCACTGAAAGCTCTTTAGGCGTTGGTGAACTGAATGATGAAAAAAATAAATTAGCTTGTTTAAGGCAGAATATGTATACAAAATGTAGATATTTTGTAGATAAATTGTATTATCATAAATAAAGATCATCTACCTTCATCCATTCAGGCTTGATCATTTTGTCTTCAATTGCAGCTAACCAAATCTGACTCTTAGCAGCTGACCAGTTTAGTATGTGAGGGATTGAATTAGAAATCTTTGTAGCTATATCAATGTTGACGGAGGAGCAACACTCATACAACCATACTTGCATGGCTAGTGAGAATCCTCAAATGAGATAAGAATGAACGAAAGGATTTAGCTTGTGCCTAACAGATTCAATCAACTGTTTGTAAGACTGAACACCCCATGAAAATGACTCGTACTGACCGGATTCAACTAAATAAAACCTAAAATGATCTACCAACCCAATATGGTCTCTCTCTGAAGGACA